CCCTAAACTTCCTAAACCCTAAAAACCTAAACCCTAAACCCTAAACTCCCTAGACCCTAAACCCTAAACTCCCTAACCCCGCAAGGCTCTTCAAGCTGACTCTCCCGACCTAACGGCCGATGCGGCCCGCCGCGCGGCGCAGCTGCTGCTTGGAGCCCTGAACCGACGCGCGGCCGGCATTCGAACGTAGGGATCGGAGGGTTTAGGGTTTAGGGCTTATATAAACCCTAAACCCTAAACCCTAAACCCTATAGGGTTTTGTTTGGGGTTTTTGGTTTAGGGTTTGGTTGGGGTTTAAGGTTTAGGGCCGGCATTCGAACGTACTGCGTCGAAATGCTTAGTACATACCCATAGGCCCTGAAGTAGTTCCTTTTTGTGGTTTTTGTATGTAGAAACCTATAAGGTAATCCCAAAATAGTGGTTAGGGTTTAGGATTTGTTTAGGGTTTAGGGTTTAGAGTATCCCCTTATTCTCCCTATATCTAGATTAGATGTAAACTATACTAAAGTATCCCACCAAAAAGCCCTAGTCTAGTTATCAACGGCCTCACACTAGAGCGATTCTGCGGTTGATGATACGAATCCTGCATTCCCCATATTAAGGAATATATACCATACTTCCCATAGTTTAGGATCCTTAAGGTAATTGCAGGACTTCTATCATCAACAGTACCTAGGAGAGGCCCCTAAACCCTAAAGCCCTAAACCCCTAAACCCCTAAACCGTAAACCCCTAGACCCTTAAGAGTAGGGTTTAAGGCTCTGGGGTTTCTACGGGCTTTTGCTTTTGCATGAGTTTTAATGGAAAGCTCAGCAAAAGTATCTGTCATGATGCTGCTGAGCACCGCACTGACGAATCCTAGATTCAAAACTCTGAAGCACTAAAACCTTAATCACTAAACCCAAAACCCTAAACCCTAAACCCCAATATACCCCACAACCCTAAACCCCAAACCCTAAACCCCTAAACCCTACACCCGCTAATGCACCAAACAATAGAGCCCGAAGCCCCCTGGACCATACTTGGAGGGTCGGGGGACTTCTCCAAGTACACCCTTAACACCTAAACCCGAAACCCTAAAACACCCAAAAACCTAGACCCTTATAAGATTGGACTTACTGAGTCCCCCGACCCTCCAAGTAGAAGCAGGAAGCCCCAAGATTTCTTCAACAAGTCCCCGAACTCCTGGCATTCGTCGGCAAGTCCCGGGTTCTGAGCTCTGCTTTGAGCGGTTTAGCGTCTAGGGTTTAGGGTTTAGGGGTTTTAGGGGTTTAGGGCTTAGGGGTTTAGGGTTTTGGAGTTTAGGGGTTTGGAGTTTGGGGACTAGGGTTTGGGGGTTTCCACGGGCTTCAGTCGCAGACCGCTCATTACGGGTCTAGTTTAGGCTTCCTTGACAGGAGATGCTCAGGTTGCTGAACCTGCAAAGCCTTCAGGATCTGACAGTCAGGAAGCTTTTGTCTCGAGCGAAGCACCGAAGGCGCAAGCAGGATTGATCGCCAAACGAGCTTGGCTGAAGAAATTGAGAAGACCACGCGTGATGAGCGCAATGCTGGGAGCAAAGCTGAGCTTGACGAGAAAGAGCCAGTTGGGGCAGCTGGCAACGGGTCTCCTGAGGGTAACTCTGCTGATGGAAGCGTGAAGGCTAAGGCTGCACCGAAGGCTAAGGCAGCGGAACCTCTCGCGAACTTTGGCTCACAGTCTGATGAGAGGGAGTTTCGAGACGAGGAGGATCGAGACTCGATGCAAAACCTCCGTGGGGCAGACCTCTCAACTAAAATAGGTGAGTCTGCCGGGTGCAATTTGGACCACATGGCAGCTGAGTTGGTTCGCAGCCTTGAGATAAAGGGTCTTTGCGAGGGAGACATTTCGAAGACTGTTTTTTCAGCCTGCAGCATGCACTCTGGAGCACTCACGCCTACTATCGACGGCATCAACATTGTGCTGAGCGAGAACACGAAGTCCCCTCTTCAACAATATCATACGGGCCTTTAGCGAAGGATCCTACTTTGGAACAACCTTCCTGGTTTCCATACCATCCCGATCTGAGGTGTGACATGTACTACAGAGAGAGTTGAATAATCAAGACTGTAGAGTATCTCCATATGCTGTCCCCATGCCAATATAGTCTGATATTCACCAAAACCTTACTTCTTCGGTCGTCAAGGGCACTACAGAAGCCCTAACACCCCTATGACACCTTACAAAACACCCATTGCCAAGGCCCCCATAAGAGGACCTCTTGGGGCCCGAAAGAATATAGACTAGAACTATCCTCTTCTTACTAAGTATAAGCCCCGAAACCCTAAACCCCGAAACACTTAAACCCCTAAACCCCTAAGCCCTGAACCCCAATATACCCCACAACCCTAAACCCCTAAACCCACAATCCGAAACCCCCCAACCCCACACACCCCTAAACCCTAAACCACTAAACCCAAACATACCCCACAACCCCCGTCTGATCATGAAGGCCCCTAAATTAAAGTTTAGGGTTTAGGGGATTATCCAGGAACGACCTCGGGCTTCATAGCGTTCGAAGAGGTGCTGCGGCCTCTTGGCGGATTCAGAACTGAAGGAACAACCCAAACAAGACGCTATTGGGTGGTGGGGGTGGTCGGGGGCTTAGGGCTTAAGGGCGCCACCTCAGGGTTTCCGGGTTAGCGTTTTTGGCTTCGGGCAGACCCTACTGAAGAGTTTGACGGGGATTCCCACGCTGTCAGGAGTTTGTAAGTAATACTATGGCAGTATTTAGCACGGTGGAGCTTCTTTGGGTTGGCCTCCTGAAGGATCCTGTTCGTGTTGGTCTACATTGGGAGTGCCGTAGTGTTAAATGATAGTTATAGGCGTTTATAGGTGCCCTTATTGATGAGTTCCGGTGTAAACCTGCCGATTCTTTCTATGGCACAATATGCCCCTAAACGGTATTCTTCAGCAAAACTCCCAAAACCTGAAGCCCTAAACCCTATACTAGAAGTCTGAGTGCATAAGTTGAAAGAGTAAGAGCATTACCCCAAAGTCCCGCTATCCCCCAACCCCTGAACCCTAAACCCTGAACCCTGAATCCTAAACCCCTACTCCCGCTATCCCCTCAACCCTGCTCTATCAAGACTCCTAAATCCTAAACCCTCAGGCGCTTAGATTCAACTTCCCCGGGTTGCATAATTTCGGAGCTTTCTGGCACCGGCCTGGTAGTTGAGGACAAGAGGCCACAAGTAAAGCTTTTCGGTTTAGGGTTTAGAGTTTAGGGTTTAGGGTTTAGAGTTTAGGATTTTTTGAGTCTTTAGGTAAAGCTTTGTCCGGTCGAGGGTCGACCTGTGACTCCAATTACTTATGCTATTTCAAAGGTTGTACCCACAACAGCTGATGTTCAGGAGTGTGTTGAGGGGCTAGACGTAGATAGCGAAGTTCAGCTGATCGTCGCTTCAAAATACGTTCCTGTGGCTTCGTGTGGTGTGGAAAAGTGTCGGAAGGCTCCTGCCCAACGGCACACAACCTGGCTGCTACTGCTACTACGACTTCGACTACGACTACTACTACTACTACTACTACTGCTACGACTACGACTACGACTACGACTACGACGACGACGACGACGTCTACTACTACCACTACTAAACCCCTAAATCCAAAATTCCCTAAACTCCTAAGTCCCTAAACCCTAAACCCCTAAACCCCTAAACCCCCAAACCCCTTTTCCCCTGAACCCCTAAACCCCTCAACCCCTGAACCCTAAACCCAGTTCTTGTTTGGTCGATTTCCGGGCCTAACACAAAGCTTTGACCAATCACCGACCTTCGACCTTGCCAAGTCAGTAATATAGGGGCCTTAGTAATTAGACTAGGGTTTTGGGGCTCCTTTAAGGGTTCTTTAAAGGATTCGATAAGGGATCTATAGTAGGGTTCCATGATATAGGGGCCGTAATAATTAGAACAGGGTTTTGGGGGCCCATTATGAAAAGGACCCCAAAAATAGTATTGGTGGTTTCTAGGCCCCTATACTATTGCCTTGACACCACAAAGCCCTAACACAAAGTCCCTGAATCCTAAGCTTTGCCATGGTTGGGTAACATTTTACACTTCTGGATGCGTAAACCTAACAAGGAAGAACAGTTTACTGTGTGAATATTAGCCCAACCATGAACTAGCAAACTCAAACCCCTTGCCTAAGGCTCTACGATTGCCCAGACGTGGTGGTGGTCTCGCCGGAGAGTGCCGCCGCCCGTCCGCTGGAGGCCACCGCCTTTTTAGAGGTTTAGGGTTTAGGGATAGGAGTTTAGGGCTTAGGGTTTCGGGTTTAGGGTTTAGGATTTCGGGTTTAGGGTTAGTAGCTTTCTGAGAATAGTTTTATGTCAGTACTACAGAGGTGTGCATAGTTAGCAAGACTATTCCTTTATAGCCCCTATAGACCCATAGCAGAGTATACTTCCATCTCTATTGAAATCATTGAGGCCCCTAGCCCGGAGGAATAAGCAATAAAGTGGTAGACCTGCTCTATGAAAACTCCAAAGTCCTAGTAGCATTAGTAGGGTGCGGGGTGACATCTTGATTGGAAAGGCTGCCATCACGGGTGGCGTGGTCTTGGGCCGCGCGCACACGCGCTTCTCGGCAGTCATACAGTTGGTGCCCGTCAGGGTTCCAGTTGCAAAGTCAGCAAACCTCTTGCTTGTCCAGCCCTGCAGTGCGGTTGCAGAGCATACCTCTTACATTAGTTGTTTGCCGTCCTCAACCATACCACAATCTTTTTCCTTAGTGTAAGTCCATGTACTTGTCTTCGGCCGTGGATGAAAAAGTGTCTGGCGTCACTGCCACGCGAAGCTCTGGGTTTCGGTTTTGGGCTGGAGAAACTCAACGTCCTCTTCCATCAAGTTTCCCAGACCTGAGCTCAAACCCAGTCTCCAATCATCTGAAACTCGACGCCCTTTAGCATAGAGGAACCGCTGCACCTTGAAAAGCAAATTAAGCAAATGACCCTAGGCAGTTGCAGGTAAATTTGCTCTTTCTTCAATTTTTCCGCATCAAAGCTTTTCTGACGGGGTTATTTGGTTAAGGAACGTAATCTAAGCGGCCATAATCAGGAAGCCGTATTATTTTCCATAAACCTCGGTTATGGCCACTTAAACTAAGCTCAGTAACCGTAATCCAAAACCCTATAGTAACCCTTACGGTAACCCTGAGATTGCTTACTCTAGCAACAACCAGGTTGCTGTTCATGGCTTCGTGTGTTTGCTTTGAAGGTTTGTCGGAGAAATGTGCCCGGACAGCAATACAGGGGCTTTTATCATTAGAACAGGGCTCTCTCTAGAAGGGCTTCTTTAAGGTTATTGTAAGGGCTACTATATGGGTTAATACTTCTAATCAAAAGAAGCAACCCTACGGAATAATATATTCAGGCCCCTACAGTACCACCTTTTAGTTGAGGAATGGTCAACTTATCCGAATTCAGAAAGCTGGCACCTGGGTTTTGGATGATTAGTGGTAGGATTCCTTACACTTCACCTCAGCTACACTTGGATTATAATGTTCCAACTTTCCGGCTACCCCTGAACTACTAAACCCCTAAGCCCCCAAAACCCTAAACCCCTAAACCCTAAGCCCCCAAACCCTAAACCCCTAAACCCGGAACCCCTAGACCCCAAACCCTAAACCCTAAACCCAAGCCCCTAAGCCCTAAACTCCAAACCCCTAAACCCTAAGCCCCTAAACCCCTACACCCTAAGCCCCTAAACCCTAACCCCTAAGCCCCCAAAACCCTAAACCCCTAAACTCCTAAACCCCTGAACCCCTAAGCCCTAAGCACCTAAACCCCTATGTGCAAGTTTCTAAACCCACGAGCAGGGAGCTCACTCACTCCGGTCTGCTTGAGGCTACGCAGTGCACCGGACGGATGGGGAGGGACGAGTATCTTGGCGGTTTAGAGTTTAGGGGTTAGGTTTAGGGGTGTAAGGTTTTAGGGCTTTAGGGCTTTAGGGCATTAACATTAGGCTTTGGGGCTTTAAATTGGGTTGTAGGGATTTAGGGGTTTTGGGGGTTTATGGTTTATTCTAAACTCGAAGATGTCGCCGATGATCCTGACTGGCTTCCTGGGGAGTGTCGTCGCATGGCCCCCCAGGTTAGGTCAAACTGGGTTTAGGGTTTCTTAGTAGCTGAAGTACTACACTTTAAACTTTTGGGGAGGCTATGATCCCTTATGGAACCAAAGGTGTACATTTTTTTGCTTATGAACTCAGCAACTAAGTTTGGGGCTGCTAAAAGCATCAACCGGACCTCCTAAAGCACCACCCTCTACCGCTAACCTTTCAAGCCCAAACCTGCGGCTGCTACAGGCTAAATCAATCCTTCGACTGCATAGCAACCTTCCACTCAAGACAGGGGGTTTAGGGTTTAGGGTTTCGGGTTTAGGGTTTCGGGTTTAGGGTTTAGGGTTTAGGGTTTAGGGTTTAGGGTTCGGGGCCGGGNNGGGGGGGGGGGGGGGGGGGGCCAGGACCTAAGCCTCAAACCCAAAACCACCCCGCACGTCTTCAAGACGAACTCTTCGCCGTTTCCTCCGCCAGGCCTCTGGAAGCTCCAGGCCCTACGGGTTTAGGGTTTGGGTTTTAGGGCCTTAGGGTTTTAGGGTTTTAGGGTTTTAGGGTTTAGGGTTTAGGGTTTAGGGTCATACGGGCTCCTGAATATACACTAATGCTACCTTCCCAAATGGTTCCTTAGCAACAGTCTACTTGGAGGGTCGGGGGACTTAGTAAGTGGGTAGTCAGTAGACTTAATAATGGGGATCCTGATTGGGGTTATGATAGTTATAACTCTATACGGTATCTGCTTACTAAGTCCCCCGACTCTCCAAGTAGAAGCCCCCAGAAGTGTTCAGGCCTGTGCAAAACCCAGGTTTGAAGCTCCAAACCCAAGCCCCAAACCCAGAACCCTAAACCTGAACCCTACTTGGACGTTCATGGGTAGGTAGAAGTCGGGTTATAAGTAGGGCAGCTATACTTCTAACCCTACTTAGGAGACTTATAACCCCACTTATTATAACTACCCATGAACCTCCAAGTACACCGTACGTAACGCAGTTTTGAACAGATGAGGTGGCTTCCGTGGACGTGTATGTTGCCTTCCGCTGCTCCGGGCAGTCGCTGCAGAAAGAGGAGCTGGAGGTGCGGGGCCCTGCCTGAAATGTGGGTCCGAAGATGTCGCAATAATCATGCCGAACCATGCCTCAGGGTTTGGGGTTTAGGGTTTAGAGTTTGGGGTTTAGAGTTTGGGGTTTAGGGGTTAGGGTTTAGGCCTTAGGGCTTCGTATGGCCAGTGCTAGTACTACTGTATACCAGTACCCCCCCATGACCTTTCTATGTTGGGTCTCGTTCTTGCAACTGAACACCTAGAAAACGCGTACCATGACGTCAGTGGTAGAAGTTTGGGGATCTGAAGTAGGATTCCGGCTTCGAACGAGCTGAAGATACAAGAAGCACTCTACTCTACTCCAACGTTGCACCTTACACGAGCTAGATCCCGTGGGTCCCCTTAGGGGTGTAGGGTTTTAGAGTTTAGGGTTTAGGGCTTATAGTTAGGGTACGTCTAACCGATACTTGTCACTACCTTCGAGCAGCACCACCGATTGCAGCAGCAAGCAGCAGCAGCAGCAGCAGCAGCAGCAGGAGCAGGATTGCTTTAAAACGACATCTGGGCAGGGTTCCGAAAATAGGGGACCCTTATTTCGTACCCTTAATGGTAGGATCCTTATTATAAGGACCCCAATATAAGGTACCCCCTTATTTTCGGAAACTCCCATCTAGCACCGACGTATTCAAGCCTTCGTCTGGCTTGGAGTTTAGGTATCATTGTGACGCTTTATGGCAGCTTTCAAGCCTAAACCCCAGAGCCCTGAAGAGCACTTGGCTTGCCGAGGTCCCAGCGAGGGTCTTGATGTATAGGCCGGATGCGCCATGCTTGAATGGCACTTCAATTTTTCGGGTGATGCTTCAGGGTTGAACATGCGGCTTAATTCGGATCCCTCTTGATACTGTTGATGGCTTACGGGTAGTTCTCTAAATTAGGATCCCTTTGGGGGGTCCGATTTATTTATGTGGGTGCCGTACTATACTAACACACCCCAACATGCGAAGCCGTTTAGTGCAGGATTATGGATATGGCTGATGATATAACTCCTGCATTTCCTTGAGGACCCTAAACTATGGGAATTATGGTCTATTCCTTATTATGGGTAGTGCAGGATCTATACCATCAACCGTAGTTTTCCAAATTAGGATCCTTTTTGGGGGGTCCTATTACTTACACGGGTGCCGTACCTATACAGGGGACCTAAAAGGGGACCCTAATCTAGAGAGCTNNCCCCCCCCCCCCCCCGCCCCAACCCCTGTCCCTCAGTTTTTTTTGGGCGTATAAGGCTTCCTTCGAACTGTGTACCTTCGATGGTTTATGTGGGGGGTTGGCAAGGTTTTTGCTGTTTTAAACCTTTGTATAAGTGCAGGAGATCTTGTCGTTTAGGGTTGAGGGACACCGAATTTGCAGGTCAAGTCCGGATGCAGGCAGGCAGTTCAAGGCACAGCTTTCATCGGATCCGCAATCGCTGACAGCACCCAACATGAATGCATCGCGTCTCCTGTTCGCTCTGCTGCTCATCGGCACGGCTTCTGCTCGAGGAAGTTCTCTGCTCTCTGTGAGCGTGATCTCTTCGGAGATTGTTGGCGTGTCTGCTGGATGGTTCAGCGGCAGGCGGAGGAGGAGGATGACTCAGACGGTGTGCGATGAGGTTCCAGTTGAAGTGGAGGACGGTCCCGCACAAAAGCAATGCAAGCCCACGACGAGGAATCGGACATCCCTGAGGAATGTGACCAAGTTCAAGAAGGGGATGAAGAACGTAACAAAGTTTGAGAAGGCCACCAGGTATTTCAACCGCACGGAATGGGTCGAATATCGGCTTCCCCTTGAAGACTTCCGCCCCGAGGCAAGGCAGCAGATCATCAAGGAGACGCGGGAGTCGCTACGAGACCGTACTTCCGCCAGCCAAAGCACGAAGGTAGAGGTCCCGTTCAGCTCTTCCGAAGACGGTGCTGAGGCGATTATCACTTGGGGACCCAGCCAGGCGGGGAAATCCACCATGGTGTGCCAACTCAAGAGATCAACAGATGTTGAATGCCCAAAGAAGGGCGATGGCAGCGGTGAGTCTACAACGGCCACGCCCCGGCTTTGGGACACCATCATGGGGTATGTCTGTGACATGTCTGTGACAACCCCGGCGGCCAGGATACCCTGCTTCGCTTCAGTGCTGAGGATGTCGGCTGCTGGGTTGCGACCGCACTGGCTGAAGCTGGTGTTCGGCGCGTGAAGTTCCTGGTCTTTGATAGCATGTTCAACAACCTTATGCTACTCCGGGAGACCCTTGCCTCACTCTTCACGTCCTTCGGCAGCAATGCCAAGCATGGAACCGTCGTCGTCGCCTCCAAAGTGAACCTCGCTTCAAACAGGGCCAAGAGGATCAATCTCCTGCGTGAGGTCATGGAAAACCAGGACATCAAGGAGCTTGTGGAATGGTATGGCCCTGACTCTTAGCATGTTTGTTGGTAGATTTCTTTTTCCAACATCAGAGGCTTCATGGATTGTCAGTGTACGTAAATCCGAAAGCCAGCAGCAAAACGAGGACTTGCATCAGCAAAGCCTGGAGGACCTACGTGCGTCGCTGGGGCGCGTGCCCAGCATTCCCATCGCGGCCCTGGACGATCTATGGGAGCGGCAGGAGCGCCGTGCGAACGAGCTTTTCCAAAACCAGCTGCCGAGATGGGAGGAAGTGCAAGTGGAGCTTGCAGAGGACTACCTCGAGAACAAAACAGTGGAAGAGCCTTACGAGATTCCGTACACAGAGGAGGAGCCTTATGAGGAGGCGTACGAATCTGAAGAGTGCTTCTGGGCTCCCATCAAGAAAACAGTCTTGAAGAAAGACAACTGCCGCATTGTAGAAGTCTGATCCCATGATACACGGATCGCGGTGCTTTCACAACTTCGCGCCAGTGTTGGGGTGGTACTCCACCTGGCTGCGATTTAGAGTTTCTCAAAGGGTCCAAACTACCTGTATAGTATAATGTAGGGCTTCTATAGTAGGAATTGTGACTATGATTTGGGAAGGTATCCCCCTTAACAGTACCTAGCACCCTTTGGGTTTGGCCAACTTTACAGGGCCAGAAAGGCCAGAAGCCGCGGATTTTGACATGCGCGGTCCAAAGCGAGAAAGGAAGCGAGTCATCGGAGAACCTGTAGACGAGGCGAGTTTCCGAAGCAGCATTTCATAACGTGGCGGTGCCAAATGTCAATTCACAGACGAGGCTTTTAAAGGAACGTCGGATAGCGTATGTGGTAGTAGTACCCTAAGGGTCCAAGTGGTCCTTATTTATGGTTTTGGGTACCCATAAAGGCGCAAAGTCCTTAAATACTTGGTACTTGGACCCTTAGGGGTAGCAATCATCGCAGTTCCTGTTAGGGCTCGCAAGTTGAGAATCATTAGCGTAGCATATGTCCTTTACACCCGAGAACCCTATTCTGACAAGCCCCACTTGGCACTGCCGTTCGTCTGTGCCTGTGCCAGGTCGGCAACAGCGGGCGACAGCCCAGTGAAGTGATGCTGTGGCAGATGAGGTGTTTCGCAGGAAAACAAGCCAGACCACGTTGCTTGGCAATTGTGTGGTTTTACACGCGCGCTATGAGGTTCTATCCCTCATGGGGGGATACCGGATACTGCCCTAGACTATACCAGTAGTTCCTAATGTGGAAACCCTACATTGTACTACGTATAGGTACATCAGGACGATACTGCCCTAGACCTTAATCGTAGTTCCTAAGATGGAAACCCTACACTCTACTATATAGGTTACTATATAGGTACATAGGATTCTTTGCGTTTAGGGTTTCGATGGGGGTTTTGAGTGAGCTTCCCTGACTTTCCGCTACAAGCCCGAACGGTCCAGAAGCGAAAAGCCTGAGTGCGCGAGAAACGCTTCCCCTACTTGGAGGGTCGGGGGACATAGCAATTTATAGAGTTACATATTAATATAAGTATAACCGGTCCTAACCCCAATTAGGATCTCTATCAGGGTACTTGTAAGTCTACTTAGTAGCCACAAACTAAGTCCCCCGACCCTCCAAGTAAGCCGCAAGCCCCGAGACTAAGTCGTAAACCCGAAGCCCGATTAATCTAGAAGCCTAAAGCACAAAATGTGCTCAAACCCTAAGTCCCCAAACCCTGCACCCTGCCGAGTCTTTCAGCTCAAGCCTGATGCTTTGCTTCATCATCTTCCTGGTTCTAGGACGGTTTGGGGTTTAGTGTTTGCGCGATCTTGAAGTCTGGCAGGCCTGTCAGCTAAGGCGGAAAGAAGAGGAAGAGTAGGCAAGTTTTCATGTTTGAGTAAGCAGCCAGGTAGCCATCAGCTATCAATGCCAATGCCTTAGGCCATGTTGCAATGTGTGAATAGCTGTAAACATTTCATTGCAAAAGTTGGGCTACATCTCACGTTCACCTGCTGGCCAGTCCTCCGAACGGAGCCACGGTTACAGCCTCGGGCTGTAGAGCAGTTGGCCTTGTTCCAGCTTAGCAGCTTGTGCTTAACCTACAAGTCCTATGTTTGAACTACAGACGTGAGACCGTCTTAGGCTTTAGGATTTCGGGTTTAGAGTGTGTGTCTTGTGGGTTTAAGGCGCCAAGAGTATATGAACCAGGTTTTTATTGTTAGCATCACAAATATTTCTACGGTGCCCTATTGAAAAAACACGTGCCAAATGCGGAGAACAAACCCACATTTGGGGTTTAGGGTTTAGTAATTTAGGGGTTTAGGGTAGTTCATACAAGATGCTGTTGATGAGCTGTGGACATTAGCTTTCGAGCTGCATTGTGTTTCTGCGGATATGATATGACCTTAAAAACGTTATTCAGGGCTCCGATAGTGCTAGAAGTACACTGGAGTGTTGAGAATCAAGTCATTACAAGACGCGCTCAGGTGAGTTGACCAATACTCTAAAATCCTACGTACAGCTGTCAGACTAAGGAATTCAACCCTAGGCCCTAAACCCTAAACCTAAGCAGAAACCCTAGGCTCAAACCGAAAAGTCCAAAACCAGAGCCGTGAGCCACGGGAGGGTTCTGTGTTTAGGGGTTGGGGGTTTAAACCCTGGACTTTTTTGGGGCGTGGGATAGGCGCCGAAATAGTTGGTGCCGTTTGTTTGTTTAGGGTTTGGGGGCTCACGGTTTCGGGTTTTGGGTTTAGGGAAGAAGTGTCCGTTGCAACGTTTTGCATGGCGCTCATAGGCGTCGTTCTCTCAATTGGGATCCCCTCGTCGGGACTCGTCGGGTCCCTTTGTATATGGTAAACCCCAAAAAGTTGGAAACCGGATTAGGGACAATTAGTGCTGGGATTGCTTATACATTACTCTTGGAGATTGAGGATATTGGGTTTCCAACTTTTGGGCTTCTACTATAATAGAAAATAATATAAGATACTACCCATCGGCCCCTAAGTAGTTCCTTTTTTTGGTTTATATTTAGAATCCTATAAGCTTTTGGGCTTCTACTACAAGGGTGCCGTACTAGTTTGGGGCCCTGCCAGCTCCCCCGACAGTAAAAAAAAGCCCAGAGACCCGAGCAAGGCCGTATTGACCCCATGGTCCGAGGTTTAGGGTTTAGGGTTTAGGGTTTAGGTTTGTTTTCAATCTATCAACCCTGAACCCTAAACCGACTAAATTCTACGACACCACGATAATCACTGTCCACGTAAAGCCTCCAAACCCCCGAAGTCAGACGGAGAATGGCCCTTTGACCCGAAACCCCAAACCCCTAAACCCTAGACCCTAGACCCTTGAAGGCCGATTCAATCAAATCTCCGGTAGCAAACCCCACAGCAAAAAAAAAAGAGAACACAAAATCGTACGCAACCGCATTCAAGCCCCATAACATCCTTACCCAGCCCTCATTCCCAATAAAAAAAGCCTTAAACCCTAAAAGCCCTAGAAGCCCTAAAAGCCCTAGCCCTAAACCGTAAAAGCCCTTAAAGCCCTGAAAGCCCTAAACCCTAACCCTAAGAGCCTTAACACGCCCTAAAGGCCCTAAACGCCCTCAAAGCCCTAAAAGCCCTAAACGCCCTAAGCTAAAAGTAAGCAAAAAGCCCCGCCTTGAGAGGCCCGGAACCCTAAAAGCTCTAAACGCCCTAAACCCGAACCTAGGAAGCAAAAGCCTTAAAAACCCTAAAAGCCTTAAGCCCTAAGCTAAAAGGAAGAAGCAACAGCCCCGCCTTGAGAGGCGGTTGTCATGGGTTCGCCTTTTTGGGCTTTTGCCTTCCTGGCGCTCCGAGGGGGCCTGGCAGAGGCCCAGTAATGACTCTAAAGGTGGTAGTTCTCAAATAAATTAGGCTTTATGGGTGTAGGGTTTAGGGGTAGGGGTTTAGGGTTCAGAGGTTTAGGGTCTAGGTTTAGGGTTTAGGGGTTCAGGGGTTTAGGGTTTGGGGTTTAGGGGGGGTTATATGGCTTATATGGGTATACCGTTCTCAAATTTACGGTCCCTTTTAGGGGTCCTTTTTATAAGGGGGCGGTACTATATTGGGGACCTAAAAAGGGACATTAATTTAGAGAACTACCCATATGATTTAGAGTCATTGAGAGTCTTATTGCGGTGTGGTCCATAATGTCGGGGACGTGTCTTCTTGTAGTGGTAGCTATCCAACATGGAAACTGCATACCTCGACGACGTCCCTGATGAGCGACTATCCTATCCTTAAGCGCTGAACAGAAGATGCTGCTATGTGTGGGATATGTACGATCTTGCTTGAAGACTTCAATCAATATGTGTTGTATTGGTTCCAATTAGGGGAGGCAGGTACGGGCTTACCAGCTTGGATCCAGACTTCTTGATTACTTGGAGGTTCATGGGTTGTTATAAATGGGGTTATAAGTAGGGTAACTATACATATTAGGCGACTTATAACCCCACTTATAACTACCCATGAACCTCCAAGTAGTAATTCGGGAGTAGTACGAGTCGAGGCTTTGATACCCAGGGGGTGCGGTATTCACGTGCGCCTAGTTGGGCAAAGACAGGCCTACGACCATGGCTTCTATGGTGCGGAGCAAGATGAGGCCTTGAGGTGTAGGGTTTAGGGTGGGTTTTAGGGTTTAGGGCTTGGGGTTTAGGGTTTAGGGTTTTAGGGTTTAGGGTTTTAGGGTTTTAGGTTTTTAGGTTTTTAGGTTTAGGGTTTAAAAAGTTAGGGTCTAGTTTGACCTAGCAATGGAATAGGTAACCTTGATGCCAGAAGGAAAAGGTTAGCTGAACTCAGCGCTTAGCTTCAGGAGTTCACAGCTTTAAGGGATCGGGAGGTGTGAGATTTGGGTAACCTACAAACCCTAAACCTTAAAACCCTAAATCCCAAACCCTAAACCCCAAACCCTAAATCCTAAACCCTAAAACCCTAAATCCTAAGCCCCAAAATATGCCAAACCCCACAAAACCCGAAGAGTCTACACCTCAAAGCCCTAAGACACTAAACCCCGAAACCCTAAGGCGTGCCTACGGTTGACGATATAAATCCTGCACTACCCTTAGTAAAGAATATACCATAATTCCCACAGTTTAGGGTCCTGAAGGTAATGCAGGATTTAGATCATCAGCAGTAGTTATCCTAACCTTATAGGATTCTAAATACAAACCATAAACAGGAACTACTTAGGGGCCTATGGGTACCCATGAACCTCCAAGTAGTTGCCCTAAATCCTGACTTTCAGAGCCCGAGGCCTGTGACTAGCGCAGGGGCGCAGGGGTCGGAAGTCTTCGACGGTAGGGCTTCGTAGGGTTTAGGGGTTTTAGGGCTTTAGGGTTTTAGGGTCTCGGGTTTTTAGGGGTTTTAGGGTTTGGGGTTTTAGGGGTTTTAGGGGTTTTAGGGTTTAGGGGTTTTAGGAGTTTTAGGGTTTAGGGTTTTAGGGGTTTTAGGGGTT